CTTAATTCTTTTGGCACACACTTGATTCAGAAAGGATTAAAATTATGAAATCAGAAATGCAAAATTTCCTAGAAATTAATTATATCCACCAAAGACCAGTTTTTGTGGGGCAACTTTATATGGTTTACGAAATTGCTTTGTTTGAAACTGACTTTTATAAAGGCACGCAATTCATGAATTGTTTGTTTCACTAAATACAGGCCTAGCTAAGTTCATTTTCTATCATTGTAATTTATATTATACTCAATTTTATAATTATTTTACAATTTATTTTTACTAATTATATTTTCAAATTTCTTCATTCTAGTTGAGCCAACTTCACCCACTGCTTTGAACATGCTAATAACATCTGATGACAAACACCACTCTCAACCTCAATGTGAGAAACTGTTGCAAATCCTTCAATTTCAGAAACATTATGCCATCCCCCAAAAGCTCCTAGAAAAGGGTTAAAAGTTTTCTGCTATGTAAAAACTGTCCACGAATTAGGTTGCAAAGCTGGAAATTGGTTACAGTACAGTAGTAGAAAGGCAGACAAACAAGATACTGTCAAGACTATTTGATACTAAATATTTCGATGATACTACCCCAAAAAAATAGCACAGTATAATGTTAGTAAAACAAATGTTAAAAAGGATTCTGTAAAACAGCACATGAAGTGTGATGTTCACAGTGTAGCAGAAGGTAGAAAAAGGAGTGATCCAAAAAATATGGAAATAGGTCTGCAAAAAATAGACTCTTGACCCTTTTACAATAATGGAAAAACTGTTCAGGAAGCCTACTACATAGCCATGGAGAGAACATTTACACACTTTCCAAAACATAAGAACTGCAGAAAGGAAACAGCATCTCAATGGGAAGAATTTATTAAAATGAGAAAGGATGTATGACATTCAACACTGAAATTGCTGGTATATCTGTATGATTAATTACAACTATAACAACATGCTGTTGATATCTTTTCTTTAATGATTGATGGTAGCACAAACAGAACTTACAGAAAAAACAACAACCTTGTATGTTTTTATAATAAGGAACTTTTATCCTCATAATGAAAACCTCAAGCTTGTGTGTAAAATGCCTTATCTGATAGTATTCTAGAAATACTAAAGACAGCCCTCTAAGAATTGTTTGGCAAGTGAATTGAAATCCAAATTGCAGCAAATAGTGAAAGTGTGAATTTTGGCATAAGCTCGAAAGTAGATGCACCTTGGATTGTTCAAATGCACCGCATGGTCCTTAGGTTGGAACTCATCCTAAAGGACATATTTTCCTCATCATACACAATTAAAGTTGATGTCCTGACATCCACGAACCTGTTCTGCAAAAATCTTCAAGGATGATTAGGGAAGTAAATGAGCTGTGAAAATAACATATCTAAGCCCAGCAGAGCCAATGGAATAATAGGGATGCTGCAAATTGTTCTTTCCAAATTTGAGGATGAGAAAAGCCTGGCAAAGACTTCTTAGAAAAAACTCTTGAAAGCTTAAATTTGTTTATGTTTCTACTGCAGGATGTTTTTAGAGAAATTGGCAAAGTATTTTTCTTGTTTCAATAAACTGACATCACTAAGCCCAGTGCCATGGCTAAGTTGTATAGTGTACATGGTATGCTTATTTCAAGGCTGGATGAAGTATTCATGGTAAGCAAGTTCTGTTGTAAATGTATAAATGGACAATTGAAGGGACACTCATTAAACAATGTGAAAACAAAAGCAGATTTGAAATATGACAAATACAACATGTTGTTAGCCATATAATGCCTCGGACAAATGCTTTTGAGGTGACCAAACTGAGATAACTTTACGGCAACAAATATGTATGACCAAAAGCACTGGCCTCAATAGAATGTTGATCTTTATGCTATAGAACAAGCTCAACATCTTACTGCTTATTTCAGTACAGATTTTACTAGATGAGTGGGAAGAGTTGAAGGCATAAATCAGGCAGAATGGCCTGTTTGCTAGAATTCATCCACTCTCTGTATGACAGTTTATAAGCCAAGATGATGCTTAAATAAAATAAAAAAAGAAGAGAGAGAGAGAGAGAGGGTAATTTAAGAACATTTTGGAAGTAGTTCATTTCAGCAATATTTACCAATTATCAAATTGCATGCTGCGAGAGGGCTTCAGCATTATGAAGAGAACAAAAAAGTAATTGGTGTTGCAATCCAACCACAAACACCAGTGTCCAACTTGTGAGGATTACTTATACAATTTATCAGATGAGGAATTCAAAATTTAAGATCTTAATTGCAACTCCCTGAAAAAAAAATTGCCATTCCAAAAACTTATCATAACAGAAACAATGAATATACCAATCAATATTTTTTACTATTACACACGAAAAAAAAACACATTTTGCCAAGAAGCTACATGAGCTTCCCAAATTAGTTTTCATTTTCAATCTCTACTTCAACAATGATTTTCCTAAAGTTTTTTTTATGTGTAAGCTTTAAGTAAACATTTAGCTGTCTTCACGTAAACAACTTTTCTTAATAAAGTTTCAACATTTGTCACTGAGTAAAACATTGCCATCTTCAGTATGTTGTATAAAGACAGACTTATTATTGGTAATAGCACAGAAGAATACTCACTAACATAATAAATTCTTACAAAGTTCACTATTATTCTTTAATCATAATTAACAAATGATTTCTATAAAATGATGCATTTTTTAAGTATATAAATTGCATCTAGTTTAAATTCTTGAAAAAATACAAACTGACAGTTAAATGATGTTTTAGTATTTATGCGTAAAATAATATATGGATAAAGTACTAAGTGGTCCTTTCAAGACTGCCTTTTCATATCCACCCTTGAGGAAAGTAAAAATTTAAACACACCCTTTATTTTTCAGGAAATCATTGATTCCCCACTTAATCTTGTAAAGTACTGACCTCCAGTAATGTCAATTGCAACTCATTCCATAAGTCAGTCTCTCTGTTAGGATACAGATAGGAATCAACTCAATAGCATAACTGACAAAAAGGATCTTGGCATTGTGGATTAGTGGTGGATAAGTTACTCAAGAAATTGAAACAGTGCTCTGTTACTAGTACTAAAACTAATGGAATTTTAGAGTGTATTTATAGACACTGATTATAAGTCAAAAGAGGTAAATATCTCTCTGTGTAAATCATTAGACAGGTCTCACCTGTAAAAACTGTGTACAGAAGGGATAGTGACTTATACAAAAGCATTCAGAGGAGGGCTACAAAGATAATTCCAGGGAAGGATGAGTTATCTTACAGAGGCGGGTTAAGATCTCTTATTTCCTCTTGAGAAAATAAGGGTAAGAAGTGATCTTATTTAAGTTGACAAGATTATGCAAGGGATCAATGGGATAAAAGCCTCTGGTTTCTTTATGATATATTCTGAAGATAACAGGATGAGAGAACACAAGTTTAAGATTTGTTCAAGACTAGCTAGGCTCTATTTAAGACAGTGTTATTCTTTTAACATGGTGACTGTCTTATGAAATGAGGTGATGCCATCAATAGTGGAGAACAGCATGTTGCTAGAGTTTAGGAGGGGAATCAATGATCTCCTGAAATGTAATGAGTCAGTTAAAATTTTTACTTTCCAAAAGGTTGGATGTATAAGGACAGCCTTGAAGGACCAAATGCCCCCCTTTTGTCCATAGATTATGTTATATTGTTTCTCTTGCTATAAATCTACATCAGCACAAAACAGAGTGTTTAGAAACCTGTGCCCTTTAATATCTCTTAAGCTGTTACATATAACGTAACAGTATTTTTGTACTTTCATACAGTAATTCCTGCATTCAAGAGAGAATTATATTCTTACTATAAAAATGCCAATACTAGTTTGTAATGGGTTGCCACTACAAGTGAATTTGTCTCAAAGATGTGCTTAAATGTTTTTCTTAGGGCTTATTGGTAAATTATTGTTTATAATTTTACAATGGATGAACATAATCTCCTTTTGAAAAACAAAACAAAAAAGTTTTGATGACAGTGTGATGCTTTTTTTTTCTACTTGATGATTAGTTCAAATTACTTTAAACTTTGTTCAACAGGCTTATGAATGTAAGTAACTATCTTAGTTTTGACTGGATCTTTCTATGAGTGAAGAATGGACTTATTGGGCCAAATGGCATTCTATCATCTTGCTCTTTTATGTAGTTAACCTTGACTAGATATATCATATAACTTTAACAAGTACAAAGATGGTGGAGCTTTAACTGCTGTATTTCAGAAGTCACTGAACATTGAAGAAATTACTGATAACTGAAAAATTGGCATGTGATCCCTAATTTTAAAAAGTCTGGGAAAAGTGGAAATCTGGAAAATAATAGGCTTGTTAGTCCGAAACGGATGTTAGCAAAACCTTAAAATTAACTTAAGTATTTTGTCAAAGATTATGTGAAGAAACATCTGAAAGTTAGCAATTATTAAACAATACTTGTAAGGGTTTTAGAAAGGGATTCTTTTGCTGCACCAACTTATTACATTTTCGCATGACTTTTGCTATAATTCTTTTTTCTTCTTCTTGATGCTGCTTTTAAAAAAGGCAAACCATTTCTTACACAATCCACTAACTAAATTTATGTTTTCAATTCATGAATTTCCAATTAAGATGTGTCTCCAGGGTACATTCTTAAAACTTATAACAATTTTCTAAAACCTAATCCAAAAATTCAACTTTTTTAATGCTATCTTCGGTTTCATAAATGACCTTCAATCACATGGCTGAAATTCTAGTCATTTCTGTTTTTTAACAAAATACACAGATATGAAAATATAATCGTGAATGTAAAAGGGTAGTTAAAACTTGGACAATGGAGAGAAAAAATTTTTTTTTAGTTTTATAACACCTGCGGTTGGACAGATTTTACTTTATTATAATATCAATAATACTTCACTCATTTGACAAATATTGATGTTTATCTTGTATAACTTCTATGGAAAGTTTGTAGTTTAGTTATTTTAGAATATTACATAATATATATTAATTCTATAAACACAAAGTTACTTACGTTACAAGTGTAAAGTTTTCTATATCTTCCTTCAAAATAACGGTTCTAACTTCTATTGATAAAAGTTGTAACTTCTATTTTCGAACGAATCGAATTCAGAATCAGAGTCGATTCTAGTAACACAAACAAAGCCTATATAATATATAAAAATTCTTTGTCGCTAGATCATGTCAATCATTCAGTCAGACCTTGTCATTTGATATTCTGGAACCACAGTTCACACAACTCTTCTAAAGTTCACTGGCACTTAGTAACGTAATTAGAAGTACTACGTGTGTTACTGTTAATTTTCGAAACAACACCTTTGCTTTAAAAATTTAAATTTTTAAAGTTTGTAATGTTGTAAAAATCATTCAAACGACGAGCTTTACTCTGAAGAAACATTAATTAAATATAATGCACACAAACATAAAATCTTAGATTTTCCGGTATAGCTAAGCCACGTTATGCTATATTTTAACAATTCATAATATTTGTTTTAAAATTACTACTAATACACTAACCTTCCGACGTCTCCAATATCACCGATAGTTTTTAGTGGACGAACAACTTTACTTTTGATTTAAAACGCCCTCTGCAACATAGCATGTTATGAACTTTAATATCGTAAATAATTAAATTTTCCTTACATGTGATTAAACAAAAATTTTAAAAATCTATCTTTATTAAATTTAGTAGTAATACTGACCTTTTAAAGCATAACAGTAAAACCTAAAATTAAGTATGTTGAATATCAGGATACGATATAAATATGAAGTCTTGCAGAAAAAATACAGTATATTTTATAAATTCCCACTGGAGAAGGTAAGTAAATGTATTTTTTAATTAAAAGTTGCTTTTCACAATTTTAAGTTTTTAAGGAGTGTTTTTTTAATCCTTTTTAACCCCCTTTTATTTTTACATCTACTTTTTAGGGCCTCCCAGTGGCTCAGCGGTAAGTCTGAAGGCTTATAACGCTAAAAACCGGGTTTCGATACCTGTGGTAGGCATAGCACAAAAAGTCCATAGTGTCATTTTGTGTTTAACAACAAACAAATAAATACTTTTTGTACATTTTTTCATGTTCTTCTTGAAATATCGCTGTTAAATATTTGTAGTGTAAATATACATAGAAAGTACAAGAATCTTACCTGCCACTTCTGGGTCTTTATAACAAATGATTAGAAACGTTTTCAAATTTTTAATTATTAGCCATGTATCACAATGATAGTTCAACTCAAAGCCGTATCGTTTTTCATAAAGTTCTAATCTTAATGCAACATTCCGAATTTTCTTCAAAACTGCTGCGAGCCTCGGAATGGGCTAACATTAATAAAGAGCGGCTAAATTTAAATTTCTGCTAACTCCACCAGCTTCTTATTTCACCCTATAAACTCTGATATAATTTGCGGTAAAAAATTTTGAAGTTCATGACAGAAGGAATTTCTTCTTTAGTATCTGAATGGAATTTATAAATATAAATTAAATATAACAAATATTGCATAATCGAACACTAATAAGCTTAAATCAGTTCTTTAGAGCGAAACGTTATTCACTGTCAAAGGCACTTATTTTTGTAAGCATGTTAATATTATCAGAGGCCTAAATAGATAAATTGTCTCATGTTTTCACGACTTGTCGACATTTTTACAGGTACTTTTTCGACACGTGTTTGGATTCGTAAGTCACTGACAATACCAACAATGATCCATTTAAATAATTACTGTAAAAATTTACATAGTATTAAGAAGAGTTTAAGAATCGCTTTTAGTGCATGCACTTATTTATTTCTAAATCAACTATTATTACTCAGTTAAAAATACATAATACATTTGTAAGAGTTGCAAACATTTGGAAACACCTAACGGTATTTTGGATCCACTGAATTTTTTATTCAAAAAATAAATGCCCCACTGTCTTCTTAAAGAGCAATGCTGAAGAAAAGTTTTACTTTTTCATGGTTAAAGCATATGCTGTCTTGCGTTTATTGAATTGAAATAAATGTATTATTGTACATGAACACAATTTGAAGAAAAAGTAATAGAAGCTACACTGTTTAGACACTGAGCTCATCGCGTTTCCTGTTATTCCTTAATTACATTACAGAGTCATTTCCGTTTTCAACAGTTTAACCACGATCTTGTCTCACAACTCACGAATACTGTGGGATAACTCTAATGCATACTAACCACTACAAATTGTAGTAATGCTCTCATGATAACAATGAATGTTAGTTTTTCTTATTTGTGTTATCAAATAATAAAAGTTAATAAAATATCTGCTAACACATTACGAGGCCTGACGAATGGCCGGATTTTCTGAAACATTTCAATAAAATCATATCAGTTAGATTCTGATTTCACCCATTTATTGTTTCTATTTATGTGATTATATAACAAACTGTATTCAAATATTCAGCGTTTAGATGATAACTTTTGTAAGCTATAATTTCAATGTTTCAACATGGTTGTTTACTACCAAAGCTGCTGATATAATGATGACACCAGATTTAGAATACTTCTAATACTAGTCCTAGAATGCTCATGAATGAGACACTTTGAGAAATATTTAGAAACAAAGACAAATTTTTAAATACGCGATTCAGTGAAGCATTGAGTCGATTTTTGTGATTGAAAAGTTAGTAAGGTATTCAGATCAGTGTTAGTTGTCGTGTATATTCAATTACTCGATTGATTAGCCGTACAATTGTACAAGTATGTTTATTTGTACGTTAGCCATAGTACCGTAAGTGACTTGTAGTATGTTGTAAAACCCCTGAGCGAAATCAAAGGAAAATATGTTAAGAAATGTCAACCACGCTCCATCTGCTATATCCAATGCTGACGAAGCCTTTCCCCCAAAATCAGGGCTCGAACATTAAGGAAGAAATAAACTAATTTGTTGTCCTTACGTGCACTGGTCTTCGCATTATTTTCAACAAATAATTTAAAAGAACCCGCCCAATAAAAGAATAACGTTACGATAGAACATTTGGTTTTCTTGAATGTTTTACATTAATGGCTCCTGAAATGCAAAGCATACGTAAACCCAATGCTGAAGATTGAATTTCATGCATTTTGGTTGAAGAGATTTAGGCATTAGGTTTTTAAACTGACTGACTAAATCATTTTGTAGAGGTTTAATAACACTGAGAAAACATGTAAAAATTTTCATTCAGATTTCCAGTTAACAACATAACATGAAAAACTAATTCAGACTAATATAATCTTTAAGCGCCATCTTTCGTGAATTTCGTCAAACAATTTTATCAGATATTTTTATTTTATGTATATAAATAATATAGGACAAAAAATATCTTTTTTTCAGGATTTATTTCTAGTTTTCTGAAGAAATATTTTAAAAAGAAAAACGACATGATAATGAGTCTTTAGTTAACACCGAAATATCTTTTGTTGTTGTTAGCCATTTTACAGTAAAACAGTAGCTGAAAGTTGGAATGCTTTGCGTGTAATCCACTTAGAAGTTCTGTCCATTTTAATAATCGCAGTTTTACCAGTTTATGTCAACTTCTATAGCTTTAATTTTCATGTTTACCCATTTTCGGAATATGTTATTCATAAATACATTTTTACACATAATAATATTTTAAATAAAAAATTTCATGTTACATGAAACAATTGGTTTATTATACAAATTATCAAACTACTTTTTATTTCAGTTCTTTAAGCTTGTTAATTTTAATCAATCATTTATATTTCTGAATAATATTATTTTCCGAGTTTTTGTATAGATTTAGGGATTGATGAGAATTAAAAAAAACAACTTAATTATTAATTTTGCTTGTTAAGCTCATCATTTGAATTTCGCTCAGCTGTTAAACATTTCTCATCTAGCGAAGTTAATGTAGTTAAATACTATTAACAGTATACTATTCTAACTAAAATACGAATATTGCAAATATTCTTCCGACTAGTACGAGTGATCATTTATTTTCTATTATATAAACTTGAAATTCTGTCGAACAGAGAAAAGTATGCTTATTTATTGAATATTTGAAATTTTAAAAGAAAAAATTAACATTTTTAGCTTATAAAAAAAAGTGAATATTTCTCTTTCTAATCCTTTCATGGTTCAGTAATAGTTTTAGACTCCAGTGAGTTATACTACATGATCATTAGTTACTTGTAATACCTTTTTACAGTCATCGGGAGTAAATGTGTGTATTGGAGGGTCAAAATTAAAAGTGCATCAATCTTATCAGACGTGTGCCTGCCTAAAGAGTGTGGAGGCATACTCCCCTGAATAATTTTTACAGGTAGAGTAGCAGTTGGGACCTATTTTAATGTAGAAAGGGCCTAAATATTACAAAAATCTGGGAAAAATCACGAATGAAATTAATGAGAAAATAGGCAATTCAGTTACTATATTTTATTTTTCACCGTTATTTCTTTATTTTACTAGTGTTTAGCATGGTGATCTGTGGATACGAGAGTACATGGTTCGCGTACCGTTACCTCTCAGGTCACGTTCGACACTTTGGGGCCTTGGGTGTATCATAAGATTCAAATCTCATTATTCGATAAGAATATACCATGAATTGGCGATGTGTGCTGTTAACTAGCTACCTTCTCTCTAGTCTATCAGTGCAGAATTAGGAATGGCTAGCACAGATAGCTCTTGAGAAGGTTTGCACGAAAAATATCTTTATTTCCAACTACCAAATTAATTTTAGAATATTTATCTGTTGATAGTGACTTATCATTTTGAACTAAAAACTCAATTTGTGTAAATTATAAAGCTATCAAAAATTATGGGAGGGCGAAATGAGTGCTGGCCTCCCTGTTCCGACGCCTATGCTTTAAAAAATTTGATTATTTTCATATATTTTTGTATCGTTCTGAAATCAGTCGATCGATTATCCTTTACCAGTCTATACTTTAGGATAAAATCCAGTGTTTTAATGATAATTTATTTACTTAACCATTATACCATTTTCCAACCAACCTTACTAAATAACTTATACTTCTTTTGTATTTGTTATTATCACTCTTTACTTATAAAGTAACGACATTTTCGGTGCCAGTTAAGTTTCTGCATTCAATATATTTCTTCTTAGGTTTATGTTAGTTCTCTATTATGCCATAAATAATAATCTATTTCGCTTAAAATAAAAAGGGGAATAGAGATTTTTTAAAATACATAAAAAATAACGTTTTGATATTATACAGTAAATAGTTAAAAAAATTGTCAAAGTGAATATTTTTCAAGTGCCACCCCCACATACACACCTAAAAAGATACTTTTTTACTGTCTGTTTTTGATGATAACAGCAAAATACCCAGTTCTACTAAATCCGTTATTGTTCTTTGTATGTACAAACACACATGGTAGTGCTATTTCTAGCACAACCCTAAATGCATCAAGTTCATCAACCTATTGAGCACTTGATGTAGGAAAAACGTATAATGAATGTATAAACTAGAATTTATATTTTGTTTTCTTGTATCGCAATAATTTCGCATCATAAACCATTGGAGCTCTAAGATTAAATGCTTTGTTTTTACATGTAGATGTCATGCGATCTGTATTTCCAATTTATTTATAACTGAAGAAAAGGAAATTTTATAAATTGCTAATTGCAGGGTGTAGTTCAATAAATATATATATATATAATTAGCCTGCCGGTTTTCTAAATAAACTGCAAAATTTTTCACTGCAAGAAACTATGAATTAAAAGAAAACATGAAACTACGTATTTTTTGGTTGTCTAAACATTTTAAAAATATTTTCTCTATAGTAAATTTTAAAACTTAAAAACTGGCGGAGTTTTCTTAATAACTGAGCTGTAATGGTCCATATATTGCACACTTAAGTTTAATGATGAATAATAAACGTATGTCGTTCAAATGTGACCAGCAAATTATGGATGCTCATTTCATTGAAAAACCCCATCTAGCGACTGGGATAGCCTTCACAAGTCATGGATAATAATAGGTAAAAGTTTCAGTTTCAGTTACACATGTTACTGAAATCAAACTAATTTTGCTTCTTCTTTTTATCGTACCGACAGAATCGCCAATATTGGTTGATATTTATTCAATTTTAAGCAAAATTTCATCAAAATTCTCAATGCAAAATGTCAAATAAATAACTAAAGTTTCATGTATAATTTATATTTAATTGTTATATTATTTAATATATTTGTTTTAATAAAAGTACTGTAAATCACAGCTTGATTTTAAAAACTTCGAGTAAAAAATCATATTTTCAGAATTAAACAAAGTCACAGGAAGCACAAATAAATATATCAAAAATTTCAATAAAATAGTTCGTATGAGTTCATTTATCAATTAAGTATTCTTTTTATACTAATGAAAGCAGGTTACATCAAAATCAACAGTCTGCTATTTTTTTTCCCCCGTAATTAATCTACCGATATTTACCAAGCTACAATGACATTTGTATAACACAAGTTTTGCCTACGCTTTTACCACCTCCCTCAGGTTTGGTTAGGCCTAATTAAAAAACAAGACAGAGAGAGAGAGACGGGTAGTACCATATAGTCTTTCCAACTAACACGAACATATTATTTGTATATTTGTGATACACGTATTATTTATTATAAGATTTTGAAACTGAAAATCACGTTAAACCCTCTACACAACATATAAATAAGATAATTACCTATAACAAAGAATTATGTAAGTTTATTCCACGGGAATATAGAGAACGACACTAGGATATGGGTTTTTGGTCAAGTAAATTCCATACACATAATGCAAATAAAAATACACAAAGAATATTAAAAGTTCCAGAAAACGACTGTGAATAAGTCAACATAAGAATATATATATAAACACATAAACATTCTTTGAATTAATAACATTATTTAACACCAGGCTTCTGGATTATAACTACTTCATTAATATTTACAGCTACATGTTACATTTAAAGAACTGAAGCTGAAACTAAAACTATTATAAAAACTTGAAAACAAAACACGGTCAAAATGTGTCATTAATAAAAACACACGCTCATTAATTAAAACAAAAAAGAAAAGTTCATAACAAAATGTTAAAATTTTTTCATTTCGTCATTACGAAACCATAAAACATATGACATTAATTAAATTCATATCTACATAATGAGCGTTACAGATGTTAGTTGGACATATTTTAGGCTCTGAAGCGTATTTCACATACTAATGTTTCACAAAACTAAAGCTCAGTATAAGAGTCTGAAAAAACACCATGCAGTTTCATGCGACGCGTGCACTGGTTACCACATGGAGGCTCTCACAGGCAACATGCAACAACAAGTCTATGTTCGTGGTTTCCTTCTCGTCTTCAGCTACTTGGTTTGAACCTGAACTGGTTCCCGAAGGTGTGAGTGAATTGAAATTACACATCAAACAATAACGCTTACACCATGCAGCTCACCTGGAACATCGGTGACTTTTTTGGCTTCATATCCAGTCGAGTATCCTTGATGATTGAACGAAGGCCAGGTTGGTGATTGGCTAGGACTTGTATTCGCCAGTAAAGACGTTAATAACTCATCCAGGTGTCTTTCATCAAAAGGGGTGACTTTACTCTTTGGTCGACCTTCAGTATCTGACCAAAATTCATGTGGCATTCGTTTGGGTGGAACTAATGTCTTTCTTGGAGGTGTAACAAGTGAAGATTTAATCCCACTTGGGCTTAGTAGGTTAGCGTGAGGTACCTGAGAGTGTTTATCGTAAGTCCAGACTTTAAGAGAAAGTGGTCTTTTCCCTTGACGAGCAGTTTTGGAACTGGGGGTAGTCACTCGAATGTGCCATTTCTCTGACTGCCCATCTTTAGGGTTGTCTTTTAATATCGCTACTTGGTTTTTTTGACTAGATTTTCCTGGATAATTCCACGTTTTCACACGATTTTCAATTTCTGCGCGACTCTCAGTCAAAGTCTCCGTACTTGTGAGATGATCAATCGTTCTTTCACTTTGAATACTAGAACTATTACCCGGATAATGTCTCCCTTTCATTGTTGTCTGTGGTGTTTCCGTAACTGTAGAAGAAGATTCTTCTGGCTTGACAGAACCTCCAAATTTCTCCCATTCTGACGCTTGTTTTTCTAAAGCAGCAATAATATCAGTCATACTTTGTGCTCTTTCGAAAGGCAACGTGGCTTCTTTTTCTTCTTTTTCCACAATATGTGCAATATTTGCTGAAAGAGAACGCACTGCACGATGTTTCTTCTTGCCAAAACATTCAGTAGTTGACTTCAGTCCTTTGAAAGTTCCATCAACTTCTTGAAACACCATGCTGGGAATGTTTTCTTTATTACATAATTGATTGTCTCTGCGTAGGTTACGAAACGCTACGTCATCTAGCACCACATCAGGAGTTCTTTTTGGTCGACAAAATTTTCGCTGAACATCAACTGGTGTGGCCTGGAGATAGTTAGAAGCTGATGCTTGAGTAGCAGGATCTTTAGGAATTCCAAAAGGCGGTGGTGGATCTAGGACTTTAGCAGCATCTGCCATTTTAAAGAAACGATAAGCCATGTCGTCATGCTCTATATCTGGTTGCTTTGTGAGAGGAAAACCTTTGAAGAATTCTTCAACCTCTACTGTTGGAGTAAAAGCCGGAGAACACAAAAGATAACTCATGTTACCATTGTTTTCTGGACTTGTTGGGCTCTCTTTAACATTCTTTTGAATTCTCCTGTACGCTGCATCATCGGTAACTTTATCTGGCACAGCTGAACGTCTGGTAGGTGGAGTTCTTGTTCGACGCAACTGATTCAAGCTTAGACCATAATCAAAGCTTTCCTTCTCTGTAATACCTGCTGAAGATTGTATACTATCATCGTCTTTCCGGATCGTCGAATAATTAATAACATCGGAATGAGAATTACTTTTTTTATCAGGGTTCAATGAATTTTGTGAGAATTCCAAACGTGTTGGTCGTGATAGCTGAAACTTTATAGGAAGATCACGTCTTTCTGCTCTGTCTAACAAGTCATCGTCATTCAATTTCAGACTTCGGTACATTTCTTCCAGTTCTTGCAGTGCATCTTCAAAATTTTTAGAACACCTTTTCTCCATCTCACGTTGCATGAATTGATCCATTCTTTTTTTCTTAGCATCTAAACAAAGAGTGGCTGATGAATGTCTTCTTGTAGGTGGAATTGGTGCACTATAGGACGGTGACAAAAAGCTCTTTTCAGGCTGATTATTTGGACTTTCTAGTGAATCTGATTTCTCATAAACTCGAGTAGTAGAAGATCTAGAATACTCATTTTGTTTAATTAAGTCCAAGTAGATCTGATCACTTATTAATGTTGGAGATAAGGGAGCTTTCATTATAGACGAAACACCAGAAGACGAAATTCTGTTATGTATGCTAGATTCCTTGGTTTGGTTTGCACCAGATTGATCTGTAATTTGGCAAGAACCTTCATTGTTGTAAATTGACAAGTGACTACCCAAACCTTTTTTGCCATCTGATAAAGATCGTCCTACAAATCCATATCTTTTTCTTGCAACTACCTGTGAGTCACTCATATACGCTTGAGTCCCTTGTTCGTAAGGACCATGGCTTGCCTGGTCTGGCTGTGTAGATAATGGTGCCTGGTCTGTATACGAATAAACAGGTACTTTAGATTGACTTATTGAAGCTAGAATTCGGTATGGAGGAACATCAGTGTAAGCAGGCATCCCTTTTAGTGTTTTAATGGGGCCGTTGTTTTTGGGGTAACTTTTTGTGGGTCTGAAATTGTCTTTTAGATGTTTATTGTTATATGCTCGGATTGGCATAAGAGAGTCTGGTATTTTTATAATATTTTGGTTGACCTCAAGCGGGCGCGTATTCATATCACTTCCAGTTATGCAGAAAGGCCTTTCTGTATAAGTTTCGGTCTGTAAAGACTTAGTGCAATTACTCTGACCTATAGTTTCCATTGTGGAAATGTGAGGTCGCTTGCTCAATGCTTGATTTATAGTAGTGATAGTAGTAGTAGTAGTAGTAGATGTAGGGTGAGAACTTCTCAGTTGTTGAGCTGTTTCATTGACTACCACTTTAGACTGAGGTGATCTAGGAGGCGGAGTTGGTGCCCGTCCCAGACTTGGACTAGAGGCAACTGATTGCGAGCTTACTCCAGAATCTTGAGGAGACGGATGTGATACTTGCCCAGAATTTTGCTTTCCTCCAATAACACAAACAGTCAGCTCCCTCACTGGAGAAGGTTTTTTCTCTTTGATTGGTCGACCATTTGGCTGTATGTTTTCTGAATCCGTACGCCTGCTAATGCAGTGAGGATGATGATAAAAATAATAGTTCTCCTTTGTTGACTCTAAAGCACTATGGTAGCTGGATTGAGAGGAATCTAAATTTGGTGACTTAATATAGGGGTCAAATACTGGATCCCGGTATAAAATAGATTCTTGCCAAACTACACCAGAGTTACCCTGAGGAGCTGGGGGAGGTTTCTTCTGACATTCTTCTGGTTTCTTGTCCAGAAGGAGTGCTTCTGTTGTTCCATTTTTAGCTAATTTATTAAAAGAAAATTCTTCTTGTGATCTTCGCTTGAAATGTCTATCTGTTCTGCTAAATCGACTACGATTTTCTCTAGAAGAGCGATGAAGAGCCTCATCACTGTAATAACGATCTATGGTTTCATTTGATTCATCATCCGATGATGACGAACCACAGAGTTGCTCCCTCTTCGCTTCCACTCTAGCTTTCAGAGCTTCTCGACGTTCCTTCCTGCTCCAGCTGTCGGTGGAGCTCTTGGAAGAACGACTTGAAATAGTTGAATCCTTCTTACCGCACCTGTACGAAATATCAAGAAAAACGTTTGAGGTTTTGAAAAACTGGTCGCTGTTTGAACTTAGCTGGCGAAACGAATTGTAATTATTTGTATTATATTGTGATTCTTGATTTTTTGATAAAACTGGTGTATTTTTCTCCAAATTGGAATCCCTATTAAAATCACTAGGTCTGTGGAATTCGACAGAAGAACAGGAAGTGTCAGAGTTTAGTGATGAATCATCGTCAGATGAACGCTTCGGATCTGAAGACTGGAACGAGAAACAAGAGTAGCGATTCCCATTTTTTTCACTGGATTTTTTTACTTTAGTTTGTTCTTGTTCTTCTTTCTCGAATGCTGAAAACAGTGCCTTATGATCAACTGCTCCTGGTCGCCTACCTGTTGGTAAGCTTTTAGCTTTCACACGTTTTGCTTCCGAAGGATTTAGACATGAAATTAATGTTTTAGGTGATTCTTCCTCCATAGTACCAGTCTTTGAAGGTGACGCCGAGTTAGCAGTTCTCCTACAAAGAAACAAAAACAGACCACGATAAGAAAACCATGTACTTTCATACATTTTGTATCACATTCATGTCACGTTACTTATAAATTATGATAACATGCATGAGACCAACATAATATTTTTATATATATTAATTTATTATATTATATGAAACTCAGCTAAAATAAGGTTCTTTATGGAACGTTACAATAGGTTACACTGAATAATATCTTATGTATATATATATACACATATATATACTAATATGTATATAAGTTGTGGATCATTTCTAGAATCCAGATTATTTGTTTAAAGCCCACAGACCATTATTTCTGTGCTATTTAGTATGGTCTGGTGGTTAGGGCGTTCGACTCGCAATTCTTCGAGTTCGAATCCCATCACCGAACATGCTTGCCCTTTCAGCCGTTGGAAAAGAGGAATAATAATGTGACGGTCAATCTCACTTTTCGATGGTAAAAGAGTAGTCCAAGAGTTGGCGGTGAATGGTGTTGATTAGCTGCCTTTCCGCTAGTCCATCACTGCTAAATTAGGGATGATTAGCGCAGATAACCCTCACGTAGCTTTGAGCGAAATTCAAACCAAACCAAACCTGTCCGTTCTATAGATTATTCTTTTTACACATTTGAAATGAACATTCTAATTTATCAGTTATTGGTCTTCTTTAACAATTTTCTTCCTTGAATGTCTTCTAGGTCAACAAGATTTGACTTTTTTTGTGGTACATAGTATTGGTCTCACCAAAGAATTTCCAATTTTAGATGTGTTCTAAAAATGTGTTATCGTTAACCACTGATTTACCACTGAGCCACTGATTGGGGGGGGGGGATTAAAGAGTGTACTAGACCTATCTAAGCATTTTTCTCTTCACGTTTTTATTGGAACTTATCGATATTTTGAAACATTTTTTCTTTGTATTCATCTTGCTCTTGATTACATATTATATTATTCGTGGTTAATATGACATTGCAAACTTCAATGGATTTTTTACTGATAGACACAGGAAATACACAATTAGTACTTATTCGCTGAAAAATTCAGAAGAATGAATTAGTAGAACTAATTCCATACATTCTTGAAATCTCAATAAAATATAAGTTAGTTGTGGCGACTAAAGAACAATTACAACACCATAAACATTAATTATAAATCAGCCGAGTCTTGTTCTTTCATTTACTGTTCTTCATTAGGGATGGAATTTCCCGAAACCGATTGTTTGTTTGTTTTGTTTTGAATTTCGCGCAAAGCTACACGAGGGCTATCTGCGCTAGCCATCCCTAATTTAGCAGTGTAAGACTAGAGGGAAGGCAGCTAGTCATCACCACTCACCGCCAACTCTTGGGCTACTCTTTTACCAACAAATAGTGGGATTCACCGTCACATTATAACGCCCCCACGGCTGAAAGGGCGAGCATGTTTGGTGTGGCAGGGATTCGAATCCGCGACCCTCAGAGTGCGAATAGAGCGCCTTTACTACCATGCCTTATGGATTATGTTATGGTGGTAGTAAAAGTAAGTGTTAAAGGAAATTCCAAGAGCAAAAAGTTAACTATGTATATATCTTTATTCACACAATGTTATGCTTTGAACTTTGAGCTAATCGCACACAGAGTAACTTTTATCTTTTCTTGAGTGTTTGTAAGATACGTTGTTCGCTTACAACTTATAATACAGTTAGAAACTTTTTTTTTTCAGTTTATTGCATGTTGGCACAGAAATGCTTAGGCCGAAGACTTTCTAAAGAAATAAAATTAACAAAAACCTCTTACATTTTCGAAATAAATAGATAAAAAAACTTTTCTACTGATATCAACGAATCAAGCAAAGTTTAATCAGTTATGACTAATAAGATATATTTATCAAAATTTTTATTTTTTATTTTTATCACAAGCATAATTATACATTTTTTGAAACAATATCGTCACTTTACGATTGATTCACTAAAATAATATCGATGCTTACGCCACCTATTGGATGCATAGAATTAAAATAATTTTGGTCATTCTGAGTTTTGGTTAATAAATAGTTAATTCTGCAGTTTGAAATACTGCTAGGTTAAAGATTAATTCATTTGAAGCTGGTAAGTTTTTCCTCATTTATCTGCTTATGATCAGCAGTAATTAAGTTTCAAGCGAATCAAGTAAAACCTTCACTTATTTCTTTCGATCTTTGTATAATCCCTTACATTCTTACAGTGCTATCTCCAGGATTCTGAAGGTGGGGAGAAGAAGGGGTGACAGACAGATGGGAGGGAGCGAAGGATTTTGTTTTAAAGAATAATTGTAAAAATACTTATGTAAGATAAATTAAGCAGTCTTCTAAGGGCTAGCCAGAGATTGGATAGTGTTTTGTTCGGTGGGTTTTCCTTGTGTAGAGATGCCTAGTAACTGAAGACATTCTGTTCTGGGAGATGTAGCTTTTACTAAATTTTTTCGTGAAAATGTTAGGGGAGGTAGACAAAGTTCAGTGGTGGCGCCCACCAGCCCTCGCCTCCCCGCTTTGCAATGGTTTTAGCAACAAACGAAATGCCATTCAGCTTATCATGATGGGTTTGATAACCATTAGGCTTCTGATATAAGTTAGTTTTAATAGCCTAATAGTTAGCGTGCCAGGACTGCGAATCTAAAGATTCATGGCTCGCAACCCGTTGCTGCATGAACTTGCTCTTCACTTTGGAGAGCTTTAAGAGCGATGATGAAATCCGACTATTCCATAAGGCAAAGTTAGCCCAGAAGTTGGTGATGCGTGTTGTTTTATAGTACCTTATCTCTAGTTTATTAGTTCAAAATTAGAGACAGGCAGCCGTTACGTAGCTTTGAGCGAAATTCTGAAACAAACTTAAATTTAATTATGGATAAATACACTTTTCCAAAGTTATTCGCTACAACATTATTATAATATCAAAATAATTGAAATAATTACTAATACATACTTTAGTGAAAAGGCATAATCGCTGTAATAACAGCATAAATTCTTTAACTAACACGTAAAGTCGCAGGAAGAATAAAGTAACGAAAGTTTTGTGATAAAAAAACAACAATATTTCATATGTACTATACTCCTTCTGATAAAGAACCAAACCCGAAACTTTGGAAGATTCAACAGTTTGTTGTATTTGATGGCTAATGTCGTGAAATTTTTAAACATGTCAAAAATGTGCTCCATTTTGCAGACTAGAACAATTAAAAAATGGAAAAAATAAAATAATTATTTCTTTGGAGTGTTATACAGAGTATATATTCACACGGGAAAAATGATGCGTAAATTAACTACAGTTGTAAAAGTTCTACGAGACAACCAATTAAAAACGAAACTATCATAGGCCAAACTGTTAACAACTCTGGTCACAAATTGAGTATATGCGCTTTGTCGAACGGTTTTCTCACGTCACCCAGTTCAAACACATAGATTACCAAAATAAGTTATTCAAGTGCGATCTTACGTATCTTTATCAACACTACTGATTACCTGGGATAATAGAGCAAAACAAAATATTTTCCACTGACGTCTCCTTCTAAAGGGATGTTATCCATGTTCGCCGCACAAAAGATGCAAGTACAAGTCACGTATTTTTTGAAAAGTTACATTCCAAACGCTCTCATCTTCCAGTAGTGTTATTCGTTGATTGCCACATGGCTGTCACGAGACTTGTGTGGCGTCATTCATATGGTTCTTCTGTAAGATGATATAGCTAAGCCACTCCTAGTTTTTTTGTATTCTTCACACAGTCTGTTTATATGTGAACCTAAATGGCTAGTTTTGGCAACGGTAACATTCTAGAGTTGCCACTTGAACTATGAGTGGGTGGAAAGGTTCATTGGTCATCTAATTTCTACAAACATTATAATAAGAAATAATCAAGTATCACACCAGAGACATCTATAGAAATTATCGCTGAGATGGAGGGAACGAATGAAAACAAAACGCCGTATATTTAGTTATATAACACTTATGCATTTTTTCTCACTTTTATATGTAATCTTGAACTTTGATGTTTGTTAAACTATCATATACGACTTACCCGATAGGCTTGTCAAAGGCTTTGCATGAAAACAGCCTACGTCTGAAAATTTTAGAATGAACATAAGATTCCAGTCTCCCCTTCCCCAGTCTCTCAGATACTGTCTATCGTACTTAAGTCTCTCCGTGTTATATTTTTTCGAACTCAAATTACAGTAATGGTGGCGATGAATCGGATATTTTGTAGATATTTATATAAATGAAAATACTTTTATTTTATACTCTAGATAGTTAAGTCTCCTATTCGTCGAAAACACACACGAGGCTTTTAAAATACCAATGTCGTATTACAGTTCTAATTATTTTCGAACATCATTTCCATACGAAAGAATGACCTTTTTTAGAAAAACAAAACATGTCTTATATGTTACTTAGAATTATCTTTGACAAGTTTTTTTTTCATTTGAGTGTGCCACCATAACCTATTCTCATGATGAAAAAAAAACTGTCCTTTTCTTGAAGAAACTTCTTTCAAGATGATCGTTTCAGGATCACGCGAACAAACAATACTTGAAAGTCGCTACAGTAATCTAATATAATGCAAATAAATTTCAAACCTTACTACAGTCACTTACTGATACTTGTGCTTTATCAACTAGAACTTTAAATTTCCATCATCAACTAATTTTCATAAAGAGATAAGTGGGCCTGGCGTGGCCTAGTGATTAACGTGTTGGGGTGATGATCAAAGGGTCCATGGTTCGAGACGTGATGCTGTTGAACACTTTCAGCTGTTAGGGCGTAACAAAAGTGACAGTCAGTTCCGTTATTCGGCTCAAAAAGACGAACAAGGACTGTTTGTGAAGGTGAGTGCTGCTGGCTGTCTTCTCTCTTGTCAGTAGTTCAAAATAAAGATTGGCTGTACCTGCACCCTAGGCTTCTGACTGTTTAGTTCATGAAAACATAAGATGGTATTCAGGTTGAAAATTCCAATTCAAAGAAAAGTGGTAGAAGAAGCTCAAGCCCATTATCTCACCCATTTTG